ATCCTAAAAATTTCATGGCCTTGACTCTAACGACCTTTGACCTGTGACCTACTTTTTGAGACCATGTTTGGCCCGAATGGCGATTCGGCGTATGTCGGCTCGCATTAGCCGCACGTTTGCAGCCTTTTCGTGGTTTCAAGCGTTCAAACATGGGATATGATGTTGCTCCCATGCATTAGGGTGGGTGTCAAGGTCACCGGAAGGTCAGGTTAGGTCATTGACCTTTGATGACCTCGGTTCACTTTTTCGAGTTTTACATGTCTCTAAGCTAGTTTTTTTAGCTGAATTCGAATTTAGCAACCATTTGAACATTTATGAAGTAATTTTGGTGCCTTCGTAACATGTTACGAAGCTGTCAGAGGCGGTTGCCAGCTACTACAAATATCCGGCAAAACCCTTACTGATTGACCTGACCTGACCTGACCCGACCTGGCCTAAATGCATGAAGACTGCAGCCACCCTTTACGACGTTCTAACATGTCCCGATTTTCCGACTTTTGGGTCATTGACCTGACCTGGAAGGTTAGCCGATGACCAAGGACCTTAAAATTGGGTATCATCGGCTTCCTCTCGTCACGGGCAGCACGCTCGTTTTTTTTTCTGCGAAGGTCTAGCTTTATCAGGGGCGAAACGGCAAGGGCGGGCCCAACGCCCAACGAACTCCCGCCCCTATACCTACGTTCGTGGCTGGAAAAACCCCACGACGGGCGAGGGTTAAGAGTGTGTCTTTTAACACAAAAGTTGTTGTGTAGGAGGCAACGGGTGTGGGAATGGTAGGTCAAGGTACAAATAAAGGCTTGCATAGTATTGACGGTATTGACGATATTTCGGAAAGTTTGGGCCCCCATCTTGTTTGGGCCCTTTTTCTGAAAACCTGCCCCCGCAAGGCGAAATCCGTGGCGCCGGCCCTGACAGGCCGTATGAAAACTCAGGCCGTTTGCAAACGGCCTGGCCCGATTCAGGCCGTTTGCAAACGGCCTGGACAGCCCAGTCAGTATGCAAACGGACTGAAAAGTCAGGCCGTTTGAATACGGGCTGAAATTCCAGGCTGTATGCAAACCGCCTAAAATTTCAGGCCGTTTGCAAACCGTCTAGGCCGTATGACAACTTTCCAGACACCAGGCCGTTTGCAAACGGTCTAGGCATTTTGAAAACAATCTGGTCTGCATAAAGTTACAGCTGGACAATGTTGAGTTTGTTGAAGCACGACCGTTTCATGACATTACATAGCATCATGAAATCCTGAGGTGCATTCGGCATCCGGAAAAATATTGTCACTCGAATATTCTCCGTCGGAAAATGGTTGTTGAGCGCCTATCTTCAGCATGTCTCGTTATCGCGATACCGTTCGTGATCCCCGATGATTCTCGCTAGTTCCGGAAAATTCTCCCTGATTTTCCCGATGACGAATGCAGGCCTGGTCAGGAAGAGATTAGCAGAACTGAGACCCGGCCCGTATAGCGCCCGGTCGACCCGGGCTTCCCCCGGACTTCAAAGTTTCGCCTTCCACCGCAATGGTCAAGTATTGCCGGCGTACGCCACCGGCCAGCCGCCGCGCCGGCGCGGCGCGGCGGTCGACCGGGCGCGGTGAGGACTCTAATGTGAACCAGTGGCGCGGGAACTTCTTCCAGACTGGGTGGGGGGGGGGCTGAACCATAATGTAGATCAACCTAGGGTACTCCCAAATCTAGTTTTCTCACCGGTTTTAGGCCACTTATTTTTAGACCTTGGCCTTTTCAACAAAAAAAGAAAATATTTGCAAAAAAGTCAGGAACCTATTCCGTCTCAGCTGAGTAAAGAAACTACCGTTTTGGCAGCCTGGAATAAAGGTTTTAATCTGCCAAATGAGTTGCTGAGCCAGTGAAAGAGGTGGATTTTTCACTTACATGCTTTGTTCCTTTGTGACCCACAACCCCTGATTTGGGGAGGACAAGCTGCCCCAACGGTTCCTGACCTCATGAAAAGTTGTGGGGCACCGCCCCCACGGCCCCAGAGCTGTGGGAGCAAGCTTCCCCCACTGCCCCCTCCCCCGGTTCCCGCGCCTATGTATGAATCTATGAAATTATGTTGGTAGATTTCCGATTTCGATTTCTCCAGCTGGGGGGGGGGGGGGGGGGCTCAAATACATTACGAGCCCCCCCCCCCCCAGCCCGAAAAGTTGGAGGGGCTCAGCCCCCGCTAGCCCCCCCCCCCCCCGGCTCCCGCGCCACTGCTGTGAACTCTGATGTCCATTGCGCGCTCCCGTGTTTTATGCCGCAAAATAATTGGTGAGTCTTGTAGTGATACGTTTCACCAGACCTCACCAGTAGTGCCTTCACCAGGCTCCATCAACTGGATGGCCGTACACAGGCGGACCGTGAACTTGTATAATTAGTAATATTGTCGAAATAGGGTCGGGCCCAGCATCAACACAGTAAGAAAATGTTCGACGTATGTAGACGAGTCATTCGGCATGGAATGCGCAAGCATTCACATGGATGCAACCTGATCATCGACCAACCTGGATCCATTAAGTTCAATCTTCAGAGGCTGTTGTGCTTCGCCAGACCGTTTGAAAACTGACTAGGCCGTTTTCAAACTGTCTAGGCCGTTTCAAACTGCCTAGGCCGTTTTCATACGGCCTGATATTTCAGGCGGTTTGCAAACGGCCGGCTTTTTCAGGCCGTTTTCAAACGGCCTGACTGGGCCAGGCCGTTTGCAAACGGACTGAGTTTTCATACGGTCTGTAACATATGCACCTTTACACTACAGTCCCACAAGCTCTCCCTTCCGTCTGGCTGTTGGCCAGTCATGGGAACGAGTTGTGTCGCCGTCCGTACCCCGTCCGGTCCCTCTGCGCCGCTCTCACCCTCGACACCCCTTCAGAGCGGGAAAACAAAGCGCCCTCGGCTGTCGCGTCGGTCGTTACTGCTGTCCCGCCGCCGCTGCCGATTGGAGCTTATTATTGGGCGGCGGTTGGCGGCCGGCGGCCATTTTGTGCGTGACGTCATGGGAACACCTGAGAGCCGGCCTCATCTCCCTTCTTATCAGGATTGTGTCATTTCCAGGATTGTGTCTAATCGCCAGTGGCGGCGGCGGTGGTTTTGTCACACGCGAGGCCGGGTTTTCCGACCGCTCGCGGTGCAGTGGTGGGCTGAGGAACGAGATGTAGCCCGTGAGCCACGGATGCAGTGATGATGTGGTGTTGAGGTATGATATCATGTGATGTTATGATGCTGTGCTAGCTACTGAACAGCGCAGTGGAAAGAGCAGTCGGGGAGAGCTGACGATATAGTTAGACGGGTCTGGCGGTAGCGGCCAAAGAGATCCCGAGGCTGCACTCGTTGGGTTATACGCTAGAAGAAATGATGCAGTGTCAATGAAAATGTTTTGAAAAGACTGTCCAATGTGCATTGCCCAATGGTTGACTAGGTACACTAGGTAGGGTAGGTAATCGGTACGTATGTGCCCAATGCAAACCAGCAAAAAATTCAAATTCCAGATGTAGCGACGTCCAGCTGCAATGCCCAATTAAATTCAGTCCACCGGTCTGTAAGTACACCCAATTTCCAATTCGTTCGCTCCCGGGTCCAATTCGGTGGCCACATTCCGGCTCCGGCAGCCAGTTTGGTGGTCCGGCTCGCCTCCAATGACGCCGGTGAGTAGCGCATTGTCGCCGTCCCGGCACTCAATGGGCGGCGATGGCCAATAGAGTCCCCATTGTCGGACCGTGCCGTGCCCCGGGGCCATATCGGCCCAGAGGCAGCGGCGACGCGCGGCCAATAATTGAAACGAAACGGCTCCCGGGATCGGCGATGATTACTTGAATGTAATATTGATACCCAATTCGGCTTCCAATGGCTGGGTCGATCGTTTTAGCGACAATTAATTGAGCTGTTAAAGAAGGGATGCGGATGATTTTGACGTTTGGTGGACTCAGAGTCGAGGGTTTGACGGGGCATTAGATCAGGTGACTCTTGCTTGTAATTACAGTTGTGAACAACGCTAACAGCTTGAGAGCACGCACTACGGATGCTTATTGACAACTCAATTGAAAGATTCTCTTTTCGCTGATAACTAATCACAAACACCATCTCAGTATACATATTCAGATTATTCTGGGCCTGGCTTTAAATAAGCCAACCCATGTATCCCATCCCAATCCCGGATGGTCCAATCAGCTCGTTACGAGAAGGACGGCACGCGCCTTACGGAATCATCACGGGGAGAAACCCCGCTATTGGTCCCTTTCTCCCCGACAAATAGGTAATTAGCGAAGACGTTTCCCGTTCACGGCGTGGTTGCCTGGGCAACCATCTATCGATCTGGTTCTGCCGCGCAGCTGACTCGCCATGTGAGGCCGGTGCAAATATGCCGCGTCATCGCCCGGCTACCGGGCTGGCGGCGAAAATCGGAACGTGACGAGGTGTGAGTTCTGTCAGGTACGGAGGAGCACGTGGCCAGTAGCTTGTAACCTAACGACTGAGAGTTTCCGAGAGATCGATGTTGAGGGAACATCGTAACTTTGCTGCAGTTGTGTTCAGCTTACCTTTATGCCAGCAGCTGACAGTGATCAATTTAGATTAAGAATATAAATAAGGAATGAGTGATGGTTTGTCTCGTCCCTCCTCTGATATTCTGTCCGTATGTGTTTTGCTCATGCCCTTTAATCGTTACACAATACACATGCAGTTGCGGTTTTGTTTCGCCCTTTAGCTGGTTGATAGAAATGAACCTAGATGTTTGTTCTTACACGAATCGATACATTTGTTTAGGTATGCCTACCGGAGACGGACAGTTGCGGTTATTCAATATTCATATTGCTTTTTAAGGAAAACACCGATAACCCAAGTATTTGGATGAGGAAGCCGCTAAACTGCAGTGGAAGTAAGCCGCAGTGTTCAATATTCATTGCTTCATATAGCCCCACTCTCGCAACTCACCGTGGCATCAAATCTCAGTCCCTCAGTACGAGTCTCCCTTTGAACCGGCCGCCCTCCGCGAGTCGCCCCGATACCCACCTGTGTTGGGTGTGTGCTCCATCCCCCGTAGGTCGAAGCCGGCGAACTGCGCCCCTGCGCCCGTGGTCGGCACGCCGTGGCCCTGTACCCCGGAAGGCAGGAAGCCAGCTGCTGCCGCTGCCGCCGCCGCCTGGTACATCCGTGATGTGGCCACGGAGTTCAGGTGGTCGAAACTCGGCTGGAAACGGACGGCAGACGAGCAGGCTTAGACTGGAATGTAGGCAACTAGCCGAAACTGGGCTGGAAACAGGCGGTAGACAAGACAGACAAACCCTCATGGGCTGTTGTGCAATGTGCAATTTAAATACAACTTTTATTCATAATATTGTTAGTGCTTATTTTTATGCGAACGAAATGATGAAAAAAATCGTCAATTTTGGGCACTGTACAGTAGCGACGGAACACCTTCAAAAGTCAGGTGGGGCACTGCTGACTTTTGGTCCCATTCTTTCCATGCAACACCCATAGGTCTAATGTTAAAATGGCAAAATCAAGGGGGTACGATGCCCCGGTGCCCTCCCCGTTCCGCGGCCTATAGGTATGAGTATGACACAGTATGAGTAGGTACTATTCCCCGAAGGTTCCCCCTTATATTTCTACGTATCGAATATTCTTTGGCTTGAAAATGTTCTCTAAGCTTCAGAATGTGTTTGCTGTGTGCTGTGTGCTGTGCTGTGTGTTTGCTGTGATATAAATAACTTCAAGCCACAAACCGCAGTACTCGTGCTGTAGCGCCATTACCGTGAAACGTGGAAACGCATTGCCCGTTGTTTTCCGACGGACAGGCAAAGTTGTATGCTTCGGTGCGATTTGCCCAGCCTATGAATAAAGTATGATCGAAAATAAAAGAGACAACAGTTTCGGGCATAGCCCCTCATCAGATTTCCAGATTGATGTTTTATTTCATCAATATCTATATTACCAGTAAAACGCCTTTTGGGCGAAGAACGAGCGAGCGAGACAGTGAGCCCTGCACGTGCGGAAGGGCGAGAGGGTACTTCCTTCCAACGGGCTTGTGCAAAGCACCCTTCTAACCGGTCGCTAGCGGTGTGCCAAATTTGAACGCAATCGGCCCAGCCGTTCCTGAGATCTGGAAGCGGCATTCTGCACGTGCGCACGTGCAAACGGGGTCCAAAATGACTTTTGCACGGCATCCTACTAACCGGTCCCCAACCGTGTACCAAATTTGAGCGCAATCGGCCCAGCCGTTCTCGAGATCTGGAAACGCCCCCTGCACGTGCGCACGTGCAGTAGCACCCTAACCGCAACACATGGGAATGCATTGCCTGGTGGGTGCCTACCTGTATGCCAAGTTTCAGCGAAATCGCCCCAGTAATTACCGAGTTACTGAAATGGGAACAAATTTGACACCTCTTATTGTTGTATTTTGCACGTGCACTGGGGGTGACCCACATGCATCGAGAGTATCCGACCTTTGGTAGAAGGGATGCAGCTACCCTATAAAAATTACCGCAAGACAATTGCTCAAACCGCTACTGAGATATGGGCCTCTCAAAATCACTACTTTTGCAAAACTGCTTGAACACCCTTGACTTTTCACGTGGCACGTGCCACGACAGTGACTTAGATGTATCACAAGTAGTCAATTACGGGGTAGAAGGGATTGGGCTACCCGACAAAAAAGACCGCAGGCCAATCGGTCCAGCGGTTGCTGAGATATAAGCCTCTCAAAAGCGTTACAGGCCGGGCCGGGCCGGGCCGGGCCGCTCATACTGAGATTTTCCCGTGGTGAAATTTGCACAACTTATACATAGATCAAGGATGCGCGACGTGCCTTTGAGGGGTCTCAGCTCGATCGGATTGATAGGGAGCGCGTGGCGCGTGCTCAAAAAGTGCAAATTCGCGTCATAGACTTTACATGTATAAATCGGCGTGCGAAATCGGGCGAAAACGGCTAATTTTGGCCGACACGGGTCCAGTCCCCGTGCAATATCTTGGTGACCAGGGATCCGACCGGCACGGGGAAAACAGCACCGTGTACAGAATTGAGCGGGCTGTCGAATGGTGTACGATGCAGAGGAAAACACGTGCCACGTGCACCCATGAGGGCACTTTTGTTGAAAAAATGCGGTTTTTGACGGATTTTGGAATTGATTTTAGTTTTAGGTGACCGTTAAACAGAGCGAGTTGAAACAACGCCTGTGGGCAAGAGAAATCTATATTACTATTTGAGGAGGGTGCGTCTGTCCGTTACCGAGGTCCCGACTTGGTGCTGCTTTGCGTGGACTACAGGCCAGACCGTTGCACCTAGCGCGCTGAAATTTGCACAACTCATAGATCAAAGATGCGCGACGTGCCTTTGAGGGGTCTCAGCTCGATCGGGTCGTTAGTGAGCGCGTGGCGCGTGCCCAAAAAGTGCAAATTCGCGTCATAGACTTTACATGTATAAATCGGCGTGCAAAATCGGGCGAAAACGGCTAATTTTGGCCGACACGGGTCCAGTCCCCGTGCAATATCTTGGTGACCAGGGATCCGACCGGCACGGGGAAAATAGCATCGTGTAGATAATTGAATGGGCGATGGAATGGTGTGCGATACGGAGGATAGCACGCGCCACGTGCACCGGGAGGGCACTTTTGTTGAAAAATTGCGGTTTTTGGCGGATTTTGGAATTGATTTTATTTTTAGGTGACCGTTAAACAGAGCGAGATGGAACAACGCCTGTTGGCAAGAGAAATGTACCGCCTATCACATAAAAATTGTGAAAAGCTGATTGATCCAAATCAAGGTGGTACAAATCACGGGAGAAAATGGCGTTTGTCAATTTTGTGCCACTTTCAAAGTGGCGCACCCAAGGGGGGGGGCCTTGGGGCCCGGGCCCCCCCCCGCTCGGTCATAATTAGGAGGCCCCCTGAGCACCGCTTAGGGTACTTTTACACTTGACTTTCCTGCCTAACCTACTATAATTCTGCACAAGATGCACTATCTGGGCAGAGGCCAGGAGGCCCCCTCTGGTAGGCGACCCTTGATGGGCAGGAGGCCCCTTCTGGATGTGAGGCACCTTCTCACAGGAGGCCCTATCTGGGCAGGAATCAAGAGGCCCCCTCTGGCAGGAGATCCTTCATGGGCAGGAGGCCCCCGAGGCTCCCTCTGCACAGGAGGCCCCCTCTGGTAAGCGACCCTTGATGGGCAGGAGGCCCCGTCTGGCAGGGGACCTTTTATGCACAGGAGGCCCCTTCTGGATTTGAGGCACCTCTCACAAGAGGCCCTATCTGGGCAGGAATCAAGAGGCCCCCTCTGGCAGGAGATCATTCATGAGCAGGAGGCCCCCGAGGCTCGCTCTTCACAGGAGGCCCTTTCTGGACAGGAGCAGGAGGCCCCCTCTGGCAGGAAAGCCTTTATAGGCAGGAGGCCCCTCTGGCAGGACACCTTTTCTGCTTAGTAGGCCCCTTCTGCATGGGAGGCTCCCTTCTGCACAGATGGCCCTATCTGGGTGGGAGCCAGGAGGCCCCCTCTGGCAGGAAATCTTATACTGGGCAGGAGGCCCCCTCTGGCAGGAAATCTTATACTGGGCAGGAGGCCCCGAGGTTTCCTCTACTTAGGGGCCCTTTCTGGGCCGGAGTCAGGGGGCCCCTCTGGCCTCTTGCAGGAGACCCTTTCTGGGCAGGAGGCCCTCTCTGGATGGGAGTCTCTCTCTGCATAAGAGGACATATCTTGGCAGCAGTCAGGAGGCCCCCTCTGCACAAAATGTCCTATCTGGGTAGGAGCCAGGAGGCCCCCTCTGGCAGGAGATCCTATATGGGCAGGAGGCCCCGAGACTCCCTCTGCACAGGAGGCCCTTTGTGGGCAGGAGCCAGGACAGTGGCGGTCGCAGGGGGGGCCATCAGGGCCATGGCCCCCCCCAAAGGCAAATCAGGGGGGGCCATCATATCATTTGGCCCCCCCCCAAACAACCGATGGGCCCCCATGGCCGTATGGGGCCCTGGCCCGTATTCGATTGTCACGAGGCTCGAGAAACCCACGCCAGCTATTAACAGCTCCCATACCAGTCTTTGAGGGTCCTACACTGACGTCGGAGGGCCCTTCAGTGGCGGTCAAGCGTCCACATTGACCGCTGAGGACCCAAATTGACCTCTGAGGGCCCTCCACTGGCCTTTGAGGGCCCCTAAACCGGTCTCAGGGGCCCAACCGGCGTCTGAGAGCCTCATTCCGGCCTCTGATGGCCTCATTTCTGTCTCTCGAGTCCCAAGACCAGCCTTTAAGTGTCTCTGAGGGCCCCGCACTGGATTCTGAAGACCCGATGTTGGTCTCTAAGAGCCCGCATCGGCCTCTGGGGGCCCATCTTGACCTTTGAGGGCCCTCCGCTGGTCTCTGGGGTCCAATGCCGGCCCTTGCCGGCCTTTTAGGGCCCAAAACTGACCTCTAAGGGCCCATGCTGGCCTGTAAGGACCCACATTAGCCTCTGAGGCCCCCCGCACTGGATTCTGAAGACCCAATGCCGGCCGCTCAGGGCCCGCATCGGCGTCTGAGGGCCCACCTTGGCCTTTGAGGGCCCTCCGCTGGCCTCTGGGGTCCAACGCCGGCCCATGCCAGTCTTTTAGGGCCCCACACTGACCTCTGAGGGCCCCATGCTGGCCTGTAAGGACACACATTAGCCTCTATGGGCCCCGCACTGAATTCTGAAGACCCGATGCCGGCCTCTAAGGGCCCGCATCGGCCTCTGAGGGCCCATCTTGACTTTTGAGGGCCCTCTACTGCCTCTGGGGTATAACGCCGGCAAATGCCAGTCTTTTAGGGTCCCATTCTGACCTTTGAGGGCCCCATGCTGGCCTGTAAGGGCCCACATTAGCCTCTGAGGGCCCCCGCACTGGATTCTGAAGACCCGATGCCGGCCTCTAAGGGTCAGCATCGGCTTCTGAGGACCCATCTTGGCCTTTGAGGGCCTTCTGTTGGCCTCTGGGGTCCAACGCCGGCCCATGCCGGTCTTTTAGGGCCCCACACTGACCTCTGACAGCTCGTGCTGGCCTGTAAGTACCCACCTTAGCCTCTGAGGACCCCGCACGAGCCTCTAAAGACCCGATGCCGGTCTGTAAGGGCCCGCATCGGCCTCTGAGGGCCCATCTTGGCCTTTAAGGGCCCTCTACTGGCCTCTGGGGTCCAACGCCGGCCCATGTCGGTCTTTTAGGGCACCACGCTAACCTCTGAGGGCTCCATGCT